TTTTCAAAAAAAAGTTCAAATTGTTTTTTATTCATTCATGGGATGAGGGCATTGCTGGCTAGGCAGCATTTATTACCCATCCCTAATTTCCCAGCAGAGGGTAGTTGAGAATAACCATGTTGCTGTGGGTCTGGAGTCACATGTAGGCCAGACCAGGTAAGGATAGTAGTTTCCTTCCTTAAAGGACATTAGTGAACCATATGGGTCTTTCCTGACAATCAATTCGCAGTCATCATTAGATTCTCTATTCCAGCTTTTTATTGAATTCAAATTCCATCATCTGCTGTAGTGGGATTTGAACCCAGGTCCCCAGAACATTATCCAGGTCCCTGGATTAACAGTCCAGCAATAATACCACAAGACCATCACCTCCCCACCACTGGGCCATTGCCTCATTTAGGTCATGTGAAATGTTGTCCCTGGAAATATGTCTAACGTCTTTAACCTTTCCTGAAAGTTTAAATACCTGGAAACCAAAATCATTTTCTTGCCTGCCTGACTACTGTCTCTGGGGTAACAGCATCTTTCCTACAATTAAGAACATTAGCTCTGCTACTTTTCCTCTGAAATGGAGGAAAGGTAGAACGTGTGCTGTCATAGGAAATTGAGGAGGTTGTATTTTATTAGAATATGCTGCACATTCTCTCTCTTTCCAGTGATCCCATATGACTCCAGTACGAAACTGAACTCAAAAGACAGTTCAGCAATAGATAGACTACACATGTTCCAATTTGTACGTTCACAGTACACGGCTTTCTGTTGAATTTACAAATAAACTTAACTTTTAATACTTCAAAAAGAAGGCATCATGTGACTGATGAGTCTTTCAGGAATTCCAGAGCCAGGGGTCACAGTTTCAGGATATGGGAAAATTGATTTAGGACTGAGACGAGGAGAAATGCCTTCACCCAGACAGTGGTGAGCCTGTGGAATCCTCTGCCACAGAAAGCAGTTGAGGCCAAAACATTGAATGTTTTCAAGAAGGAGTTTGATATAGTTCTTATAGCTAAAGAGATCAAAGGGTATGGGGAGAAAGCAGTAACAGGAGACAGAGTTGGATAGTCAGCCATGATGATATTGAATGGTAGAGCAGGCTCGAAGGGTCGAACAGTCTACTCCTGTTCCTAAAATTCTATGTTTCTATGAATTCAATCATGGGGATGATTCACAACTTACATAGTTTCCAGGTAATTAAAATTAATGGACAGGAAATTGTTGTTGGGTAATCAAGTTCTGTGCTAGGAATACAAAATAGAAAACTGTATAAAGCCTGGTAAATAATTATCTCTCAGGAGTGTTTTTTTAAAACATCAAAAGATAGAAACATAAATCAGCTGGCAGGAAAGGTTTTGTTTCCGGTATATCCCTTCATCACAGCTGCCTGAAGGAATATGTTTTAATATATGAGTAAAAAATGATTGGATTTCATCCCTGCTGACCTTGTCTCTGACTCTAAAAATGTTGTTGTTTTTCAGAATAAGAACAGCTTGCTGCTTGTGCTTGATGCCAAGACCTTCACTGAAATAGGCAGAGCAGAAGTGGCTGTACGTATACCATTTGGATTTCATGGTGTTTTTGCAGCAAATTAAACTTACTGAAGCACTTCCACAAACTGTACAACTGGGTTCCAGCACTTCAGGAACTTCAAAAACATTCAAACGCATGCTTTTATTATAAAGTAACTTTTACATTCTGAATAAACGATAATGATTAATTCTCAAATTTAGTGCAATGGATCTCACTTAGGAACAGCCCCAGGAAGCTCAAATTGGGCTAACTGGCCAAAGCCTTATAACTTTCTCTGTCAATTAAGGACTTCAAATCACATTTAAGGCTCAATTTTTACCATTCCCAATTTTCTGCTGCCTGATGTACTAGTGTGGTGTTAAAAAGTTGTTTGTTGCTGAAGCACTGCGCTTCAAAAGAGGCAAAAAACAAGACTATCAGTTACTCTCAACAGTCAATCTCCTTAATAGAGAATAGGTTACCCATGACAATGGCCCATCAGTGAGTCAATCTATGGATTGCACCTCCTAGATAAATGGTGGAAGATCTCAGTATTAATTTAATCAGAAGTAAATTAAGTTGATTTCTTTCAGACGTAACATTTGGTGTTCCATTCTGTGAGATGGGGTATGTGGTAAACGTAACATGCTTGGCATGATCAGGTGATTTTGGACCAAGGTTTCTGAAGCTTACAACCAATCAGATTTTTCTTGTCTCATTTCAGGGTCTGTTTTAGACGAATAGCAATTGATTACGTGGTCAGTCATAAAATCAAATAAAATCAGTATGGAAGAGGCCATTTAGCCATTGAATCTGTACCACCAAAAATACACTACTGCCTATACTAGTCCCACGTTTCTTCCATAGGCCTATAATCTTAAACGTAATGATACTTCAAGTGTTCATCCACTAATTCTTTAATGTTGTGAGCTTTTCTGCCTCAACCACCCTCCCAAGTAGTACATTCCAGACCCCACCACCCACATTTTCCTTAAATCCCCTGTAAACCTCCTATCTTTCATTTTATAAGTGTGGCCCCTTGTTCTTGACCCTTCGACTAAGGGGAACAGTTGTTTTCTATCCATTCTATCTATGCCCTTTATAATCTTATACACCTCTCTCTTCTGTGCTCCGAAGAAAACAACATGAGCTTATTCAGAGATAGTAAGAACTGCCGATGCTGGAGTCAGAGATAACACAGTGTGGAGCTGGAGGAACACAGAAGGCCAAGCAGCATCAGAGGAGCAGGAAAGCTGATGTTTCGGGTCGGGACATCTTTTCTGAAGAAGGGTCCTGACCTGAAACGTCAGCTTTCCTGCTTCTCTGATGCTGCCGGGCCTGCTCTGTTCCTCCAGCTCCGCACTGTGTTATCTATGAGCTTATTCAGTCTCTCTTCGTTGCTGAAATCACATGTGCAATCACATCCTTCCTATAGTGCGGTGACCAGAACTGCACACAGTACTCCAGTTGTGGCCTAAGCATAGTCCTGTACAGCTTGAACATGACATCCCTGCTCTTATAATTTATGCCTTGACTGATAAAGGCAAGTGTCCCATTTGCCTTCTTAACTACCCTATTAAACTGTGCAGCCACATTCAGAGATCTGTGGACAAACACCCCAAGGTCCCTCTGCTCTTCTGAGCTTCCTAGTCAATGGATCTGTTAGTGGTCCATCGTGTGACTGCGAGGAATGGTAGTAGATGAAACAGATGAACTTGGTCTCTTTTTATCTGGAAACACTTCTCTTATAATGATACAAAAGAAAAACTGATAAAAAGAAACTATTTCTGTAGGTTAGGGAGTCTAGGAGAATGGAGAAAAGACTAATATTTGAAGCAAGTCCTATGATGAGTAAACTAGGAAGCTCTTCTACACCCTTTGGTGATAGAAGATCAGGACTTCTTTCTGTAAGTGGCAGTTGACGCTAGATCTGTTGTTAATTTAAATGTCTGAGCTTGTTAGGTTTTTGTTAATCAATGGTATTACGGTGTATTGGGGAAAATGGGTATGTGGAGTTAGATCGCAGAACAGCCGTGATTTAATTGAATGGTGTGACAAGCTTGAGAAATGACATGGCCTCATCCTGTTCCCACATTTCAGAATCTACCCCCAGTTAGCTCAGTTTATAAGTGCTCATCGCAGTATTGAACTGAAGCATACAGAGACATTCCCAGTTCTGATATTCTCTTTGTCAAGTCTGTTGATCTGAACAGCAAGGAACAACAAGAGAAGCTGTACCATTAGGTTAAAGAGAAGAGTATCTGCCCGTTTGTAAATCTACTCCTCTTGTTGTGATTCCTGGTAAAAATTTGTATATGTATGCAATTTAAGGAATAGGGGGAAATGCATTTTTCGTCTAATTTGTGATAAACCTGAACTGTTTGTATTTGAAACTGACATCAGTAAATATTCAGTTTCCAGACTTAATGCATGCTTCGCACACAAAATTTAAAAATGCCTTTTAAATATTTCCAATGTGCCAAAGCTTTAATATATCCATTTGAAATATTTCTGAAGAAACAAATGGATTTTTACAGTAGTATAATCTCTTTTCAAGCACTTTTCATATGAATGCTACTGTTGCTTTGCACATATATGCAATATATTGTTTGTGCATTAATATTAATCTGTAATGGATTCATTCTACCACTGAACATACATATATAAAAACACAAAACTTCTTAAAATATTGTTTGTGATTTTGGCAAGGTGTGAACGTGCAAATGATTAGGATTTGAATTGGCAAATGTGGGAGGTGGTTATTGTGGTGTATTTGCCAGACTATTGATCCTGAGACCCAGGTAATGGCTGGGAGCCTACCATGGAAGATTGTTGCATTTGATTTTAATTAAAACAAAATCTAGAAGTAAGAGTCTAATGATGACCATGAAACCATTCTCAATTGTCTGAAAACCCACTGGTTCACTAATGCTCTTTAGGGAAGGAAATCTGCCCTCCTTATGTGACCTACATGTGACCCCAGACTCATAACAATATGTTTGGCTCTTAACTGCCTTCTGGGCAATTAGGGATGGGAAATAAATGCTGATCCAGCCAACCATGCCCACAACATGTAAATGAAAGTAAATGTATGTTTTGGATTGATTACATAACATCCAAATTGTGCTTCTTTGAAGACAGGGGAAATATATCAATTGGAGTAACTGTGATGTCTTCACTGTAGCTTTATAGGATGAACAAGATTTAATTTGCTTTTTCCTGCCTCTGGACTTTGTGAGACTTTAAGCTTAAATGTATGGAAGGAAGATAACTAGGCAGAATCAGACAAGGCAGAATCAAATTAAAACTGAATGCTATGGTGAAGACAATGGGGCTGCTGGGACCAATACTGTTAATCTCCATAATGGATGAGTAAGAAATAGCAATAAACAATGAAGGAGGATGTTTGGGGGGAGGGGCAAAGGGGCATGACTTGGTTGAAAAATAATGAGTTAGCAATGCATACCTTTCTAATTTGAAAATTTGCAAGAATGTTCAGGGGATTAAGAAATTCACCTAGTTGCCAATTTCGAGAATTCTTTAGTTGATTTCTGTCATTTGCTTTTATAATGATTGGAACAAGGGCCATTTGGGATCTCATTGACTATGAGATCCTTGATTGGGGTTGTTAACCTGGGCCAATCAGGGATGTCATAGTCAATGAGCTCCACGTGGCCTTCCTTTCAATCACTACAGTTTGCACAGACAACATCTTTCATGCAGCCTCCTATTTTTTTTAAGAACTTGCTGGATTTGTAAATTGAATGTTCATTGATCTTTGCCATTGGAAGTTAAGTCTGGTCATTAATAATGCAAACACCTCTTTAACAATGTGACACTTGATAATATAATGTCAATTAACCTCTATTACACAACAGGAAAGCTCATAAATGTGGTGTCATATATGGTGTGCTTTATCAGTTTATTGTATTAAGATTGAGGTCTGATGATTTCATTTGGATAGCCATGCTTTTTCCCTGTTTAATGTGGAATAGTGTGACATTGTCTTCCTGTTCACATAACATGAGATATCAAAGAACTGCTAGAGACTGTGCCGTTTACAGAAGTAGAGTTATGGACCCCTGGAGTAAAATCTGTAGAAGCTTTTGAGGCTATTTTTAAATGTCATTGTTTTTATTCCCCTCATCTCAATTAAACTGAACAGGAGGCTTTTTACTAAGGTTTCTGATGCATCAGCTGATTTTTAATTGCAATATTCCTGCAATTGACATTCTTTCTATATATGTTGATTAGAAGAGGAAGAGGTATGGTGGGATGGCAAATGGGTCAGCCAGCATCAGGTATGTACTAGTCACATCTACTATTACCTGTGCCCACTGTCAGTTTATTATTTGAAATAATTTGGTGTTCTCTAAGTCTGAACAACAGGCAGCTCTTTAGATGAACTGTTCAGTTGACGTACCTGTCTTACCTGTCTTGCCTGTCAAGGTCACTTAAGCTGGATGTGAAATGACTTGTGTGGCTCGTCTTCCAAGGTTCACCAGCCACCAAATGGAAATGTGTCGAATCTTTAAAACAAAAATGCACCTTTCACAACTTCACAATGTTCCATTTTATAGCCAATGAAGTAATGACTGTGTAGTCAATGTTGGAAACAAGGCAATCATAAACAACAATGAGATAAAGAATAATGGCCAATTAACCTGGTTTTGTGATGTTGATTTGAGGGTTAAATATTGGCCAAGGCACCAGGGACAACTCTCCTGGTCTTCTTTGAAATGATGCTATGAATCTTTTACTTCCCCTGCAGGGAGCAGGTAAGTCAAATTTTTAACATTAGGGATTGCCAACCACACAGCAATCCCTCAATAATGTTTTCAAGCATCAGCCTGGAATAGGACTTGATCCTGTAACCTTTTAATTCAGTAACAAGAGTGCTATCCACAGAACCAGACTTGACATTCCTCTGTTTTGCTGCTCAATGAATTACTAAGTCTAAACATTAGTCTGGAGAATCATGGACACAACTCATTATGTAGCAGTCCATTTAATAGCAATAACGCAATGCTGCTGAAACATGCTATCTTTAAGCATGCAATAGTTCACTGTTATTAGTAAACAAGATCAGTGAGTCTGTAGTGTGTATGTCCATAGACCCTTGAAGACAACAGGACAGGTAGATACAGTGGTTAAAGGCATATGGAACACTTGCCTTTATTAGCCAAGGCACTGAATACAAGAGCAAGGAGTTTATG